TTTCTTTTCCTCTTTAGTGGGTTGTTTTGGCCTCTTGTGTTACTGTGCATGGAGAGAATGCGGGTCCGCTTCATCTTCTCTGCTCCCCTCCTGCTGTATTTCATGCATTTTGATGGCAGTTCAGCAAAGAATTACAAAATTCATATCCTTTTGGACTGCGGGGGAATGGCAACTGGAAAGATTTAATGCCCCACAGGGGTAGGATAGGAAACTGGACTGGGGAGGGGATGAGAAGGAAGGGGAGGCAATTTGGGACTCTGGGAGTTTGAGGAGACCGGTAAAAGTTCAGTATTTGGAATCTGGAAAGTTGGAATAAGCATGCTGAATTGGGAGGGGGGGCACAATGAAATATGGTGAAATCCCCTTTGAAACATTTCCCCTGAGATAATCTGTTTCTTTCCAAGTATACACTCTCCTCCACTTTCCTGGATACCCAATATTTCGACATCTCAAAGTCAAAATGATATCCCTGCATTTTCTAGTGCTTTAGGAAGAGGAAGGTTGTTCTCAGAATGCAACTTGTCATTAGCCAACTTGCATCGTGGATCTTCTCCACGTTTGCAGTTTTTGTGCACTGAAAGCAAGGCAAAGCTAATGGGAAAGGATTCCTTTCACTTCCCCGCTGAGCAGGCTGGATTAAACCAAACTTCTCCCACATGCAAATCAAACCCAGTTGGCAAGGCCAGCACCTCGAAGGAGACAGCTGCTGCCCAGTTTGAAGTGGCAGAGACGGGATTGATAAACATGCAAGGAGACCTAACTAGTGTGTCCAATCACTCTGAATAGCCGATCGGAGCAGGAGTGCTGCAGGGCAGTGTCGGCAGCTATTTGTCGATGTGTGAGCTCCTGTCTCCACAAGAGAATCACACTGTCTTCAGGGGGGTGGCAGACCACCCAGAAAGGGCTGTGACAAAGAGAAATGTAACCGCCAGGGCAAGTGGAGGGCTTCAGGTCTACCGAAAGGCTTACAGGTGCAAATTTTGGAAGGCAGAACCCAATGGTCAGCATTGGTACTTTTTTGAATCAGGCTCAGGATACACAGGATCATAACTGAGGGCTGGCTCAAACACTCGACAGAGTGAGGCATCCACCCCATGTAGCTGGTTTTAGGTAATGTCCAAGGGCCCCACATTATGAGTTATGGAATTTATGCAACCCAGGGAGATGAGATTTGTTTATTTAGTTTTGCATTGTTTGCATGCATGTGTGAAACTGAATTGACTAGTTTTGCAATGTCTATATACACCTGGGGTCTGCTGTGATGTTTCTACCTATGGCATCTGTTGTGCAATGGTATCCAGTGCAGTAACTGGTGCACAAAGGCCCAATGCTCAACAGGCACTGATGCATCAGGACAACACATCAGGATACTGGCCAGGAAGTGTTCGAGCACAAGGTCAAGTCTGTCTCAAATAGGGCATAATGTACATCAGAGGTTTCAGACATCAAAGCACTCTTGCCCAGATGCAGCATAGCTACAGATTTGTAAAGTTGCAAGGTGTAAACTGTGATGTAGGATGCATCTACACTGTAGAAATAATGCAGTTTGACACCACTTAAAGTGCCGTAACTGCATCCTATGGGATCCTGGGATTTGCAGTTGTACAAGGTCTTTAGCTTTCTCCGCCAAAGAGTAGTGGTGCCTCACCAAACTACAAATAAAGTGGCGTCAAACTGCATTATTTCTGTAGAGTAGATGCACCAGTGGAATCTCTACCATTATAATTTGTTTTACTAGTATAACTTTTTATGGGTTTTTTCCCCTGTGTGTTTTTGATTAATCTTCTTCAGAACCACCTTGAGTCCCAATTTTGTAAGAAAGACAGGATATAAATCAAATAAATAAATTGACAGCTGTCAGTGGGTGTACTAACTTGTGCTTGGATGTTTTCCACTGACTCCTGTGAGACAAATGACTTGAAGATAAAGTAAATTCCATTCACTTCAAAGGGGCTTCTTCCCAGGTAATTGGGAATGGGATCTCAACCTTGATATGTTGTGGCTAAATCAAGACCATTACTTTGGCTTTAGTTGAATCTGAGCCATGCAGATCATCTTTGACCTAAACATTAGCAGACCACTATGATTCAGGAGTAGCGATTTCACCAAAATTCAAAATTATTAGGCTTAGAAGTTGTCCAGATGATGAGTCCTGACTTATTATAAGTCTGACAACATTTTAATCAAAATTCTTTCCTGGGTCAGACTTTAAAATCAGATTCTGTGGCTTTAACCCTGTTAGTGTTTTATGAATGCGTAAGGGCCTCAATGGAAATGGTTGGACATTATTGCCATATGTTGGACAGTCGTGTTCAGTTCAAGGTTGTGGAAGCACGGTTCTGCATATGGTAGCTCTGTGAATGGTTCCACATTGCACCTGGATGGGCATGGCCATTGTGCACAATTGCAGATGGATGCACCTGTGAATTGTGAACTTAGATGCACTGTACATTGTTCATGGAGACGCACAAGTGCATTGGGTTGTACAACATCACAATTCACAATCAAGACATTGCTGCACAACCACTGTGTAACTCTGTGAGTGTAAAGTTATGCTCTTTCCTCTTGATCTAAGTGCTTGGCCTGTGCATGTGAGATTGGTGTTCAACAAACCAGATTCTCACAGCCCTGTGGTTGCATGTGCAAGCCAAATGTCTTAGGCTAGCTCTATATTTATTCTGATTTGTAAATCCAGCAGATCCAGTGGGATTTTCCACTCATGTCCTGGGCATCTTTCACTAACACAAGAGTAACTCTATCAGCGTAACTCTTTCTTTGCCGAGGGAGCAGTGATTAATGCCTTTTGTGAAGGCTGCTCAGTCAAATCAATTGTAGCAAAGGACTGGATTCTAAAGGTCTTCTTTGGTTCCATATAGCAGAGCATGAAATGACAATCCAGATAAGCATGCTTAGAAATGGACCTCTTCTTCCACCCATTCCCACCACCAGGATGACCAAGATCTTTGCCATCTGGATGATTACTTCCCTGGAGTTAAAGTGACCCATCCTGCAATGACAATATATTTGAAGAAGCTGTCTCAGTAAACAAGATGTATGCATGCCGATTACCCTTTAAATAACAAGGCAAACAAATTGAGATTAGCTACAGCAATGCTAGGCAGGCCTGGCACGCAAATATCGAGAGCCTGACTTGATTTATCATGATGTCTGGTTGAATTCCATGCATTTTGGGTCCCCTTCAGTAACCTTTTCACCTCATTACTTTTTTTTTTTAAAGGTGGCTGACTGGCTGTTATAATTTATCATGAGCGCATCTTACTTCAGTCTTGGCTCCCATGACAGAAGGAGCAGCCGGTCTCCTGGAGGTCAAACACATTATTCTCCTTCCATCTTTCTCAGTTTCCAGTATATATTTGTCACTTTCAAAAAGCATGAATTCAAGATTTGATGCCCTTTAATTGATTTCACCCTCAACAAGTCTGACTGTCCATCATTCCTTCTCATCATTTGCTTCTTTCTTCTAGCCTTTGTCCTTCACTTTTGGGTCATGTTTTTTCACCCATCTGCAAGTAGAAGCTGACACGAAACCCATGGCCCAGCCAACGTTGACTGTCATGAATAATTTTATCGCATTTCTTGGACTTTCAAGAAGAAGAGAGTACGTAATTTAGGAAGATCCGCTTCCGTGATGATATTTATCCTTCTTACTGTTGAGCAAAGGAAGGGATAATGGGCCAACATAACCCCAAATGAGACTGATAGCTAATCTTGCTAGTTGTCAGAACTGAGCTGGACTGAAGTGGAAATAGAGAATGGTTGTTGTCACTGAGTCAAAGTCCCAGTCTGACTCGGAAACAATTATGGTTCTTCCAGATCAAGAAGAGCCAATGGGTCACCTTGGCTGATGGAGCCAATCCAAAATGTAGGTCCTCTTCAGGGAGCCTTCCAGAAACTGGGTGATGCTTTGATCTACAATTGTTATCCACTCCCCAAAATATGGAAAATAGTCAAAAATGATGTACAAAAAACCCAAAGGGATCCCGGAGGGAGAAGGCTAGCCTACTGACAGTATTGACCTGTGGCCTGCCATAGCTCCACACGGAGATATTTCTGCCATGTTAAGGAGATGTTGGACTGCAGTTCATGTTGAGTTTTGAAGGGAGACTGCAGCAGTGTTGACTTCTGTTCTGAAAAAAAAAAAGGGGGGGGGAGGCAAGAACCTTTTATTCCATCCCTCCTTCCCCATTTTTCTTAGGCAGAGCTAGGAAATGCAATCAACATACTCCAGGCATCTCTTGGGTAAAGAGCTGCCATTCTCTAGTGAATGAAGAAAGTGATCTTCCCCATCAGCTCCATGACCTCCTGTCCTGCTGCCTTGGGATATGTGTCCTTTTCCAGTGGTTGGGCCATTGCTCAGTTGTTCCAAAGAAAGAACTAGATGAAGAAAGAACTAGATTCATGCTAGTCTGTGTTCGCCTGGCCCTCCTGGCAACTCCCAAGACGCCAGCTGGGCCCAGCCAGCCAGTGCTAAGTGGAGCATGCTAGATCACAGACATTCCCGGGGTCTAAGGCATGATTTGATGATGACACTTAAAACAAACACACACACACATTCTCATGCCCATATAAGATCCCTATTGCCATCACATCTGGATGCACAAGCTCTCAGCTAGCTGCAGAACCTGGCTAAGAAATCAGCTTGCAGTGGCTTTGCTGTGTTTATCAGATTTGACTCTTGGTACTGAGGAAGCCCCTGACAAATGTCCGTGTCTTTTTCTGGGACACCGCAGGGCTTGGCATTCCCTTCTTCTGCAGTGCCCAAAGCCACTGTGAACCAGCGTGGTGTAGTGGTTAGAGCTTTGGACTATGACTCTGGAGACCAGGGTTTGAATTCCCGCTTGGCCATAGAAACCCACTGGGTGACCTTTGGGGAGGGCACATTCTCTCAGCCTCAGAGGAAGTCAAAGGTAAACCTCCTCTGAACAAATCTATCCTGGGGTTTCTTGGCGAGATGGACTGTCTGTGCTACAAAGGAAAGTGAAGAACAGAACAGATGCACTTGTCCTCTTCTCCTCTTCTCAGTTTCCTGCCTTGAAGATGAGGCTCACTTTGCACAAAGGCTCAATGATATGATAAACCTGTTTCTGGCTTGTCAGGAGGCTGGAATTAGAGGGGGATGAATCTGTCAATTTCAGTTTCTGTCAGTGTCTTGTTTTTCCTCTCCTCTTTTCATTCCCTCCCATTTCCACATCAATTTGTGACTTTAAAAAATCCACACGAAGACACGCATTTTAAGGAGGAACTGGGCCTTGCAGAATTGTGCTGTACTCTTTCTCTGTGTTTTATTTGTTGTTTTTAACAGCTATAGTATGTTTTTTAAAACTATTTTAAATTTCCAGTTGGTTAATGGTGTTAATTTTTGTGTTTGGTAGATTTTTGGTCATGTTTCTTTCCACAATTGTTTGCCGCCTTGAGTCCCAGATGATGATGATGACGACGACGACAACGACGATGATGATGATGATTTTATATCCCACCTTTTCCCCCATCATGGGACCTAAAGAAGCTTTAAAAAAACACATTAAAACAAAGGGCAGCTTGAAAAGTATTAATACAAATGTTAAAAATGATCCAACAATTCAAAACACAAAGTTAAAAGAGTTTAAAACACATTGAAGTTTTGAAAAGATAAAAGCACAGCGGTCATTAAAAAGGCCCTTTTTGTCACAAGGAGTTAAGAGACAATTTGTTATTTGTTGTTAACTGCCTTCCAATTGATCCTGACTCATGGTGACCCTGTGAATAAGACATCTCCAAGACTCCCTGTCCTCCACGGCTCTGCTTAGGTCCTGCAAATTCATGCCCATAACCTCCCTAATAGAATCTATCCATCTGGCTTGGGTCTTCCTCTCTTTCTGCTGCCCTCTATTTTTCCTAGCATTATTGTCTTTTCTAATAATTCATGCCTTCTCATGATGTGGCCAAAGTGCAACAGCTACAGTTTGATCATCTTGGCTTCCAAGGCGATTTCAGGCTTGATCTATACAAAGACCCATTTGTTTGTCCTTTTGGCTGTCCACAGTAACCTCAGCACTCTTCTCCAGCACCACATTCTCTCAAATGCATTGATTTTCTTCTTATCATCTTTCCTCACTATTCTGCTCTCGTAGCTGTGCATGATGATGGGGAATACTATGGCTTGAACGATTATAACTTTAGTGCTCAGTTGTATATCTTTACTCTTTAGGATCGTTTCTAGTTCTTTCATAGCTGTCCTTCCCATTCCTAGTTGTCTTTTGATTTCTTGACTGCAGCCCCTGTTCTGATCAATGTTTGATCCAAGGTACAGGAACTCTTTTACTATGTCAAATTCCTCATAATAAAAGCCTTGCTTGCCAGTGGAAAGACAGAAGGAGCAAACCGACCTTCCTGCAGGCAAAGGCTCTCTCTCCAATGTCATCACCAAACTTCCCTGTGATGGTGATGGGAGTGAGAGATGGGAGTTAGGATCTTAAAACATGGCAGAAGTGCTGTTTCTGTATTACGGTACCTGTTTCCCAGGTACATGGCTTCCCCAGGCTCCACAGACCCAAGGCTTCACTAGAGGACTGGCTTTGGGTGCATCTTTACTATAGTAATAATACAGTTTGACAGCACTTAAAGTGATGCAGCTCCAGCCTATGGGATCCTGGGATCCGTAGTTTGACAAGGTGGTGGTGCAGTGGTTAAATGCCTGTACTGCAGCCACTCACTCATAGACCACAAGGTTGCAAGTTCAATACTAGCCAGGGCTCAGGCTAGACTGAGGCCTGCATCCTTCCGAGGTCGCTAAAATGAGGACCCAACTGTTGGGGGGCAATGAGCTTACAGTTGTAAACCGCTTAGACACTGCATAGTGCGGTATGAAGCGGTATATAAATGAAGCTGCTTTGTATATAATGAAGCTGCTTGAGCCTTCTCTGCCAAAAGACTGCTGGTGCCTCATCACATTACAAATCCCAGGATTCTGTAGGATGGAGCCATAGCAATTAAAGTGGTGTCAAACTGCATTACTTCTACAGTGTAGATCCATCCTTAGACATGCAATTATTCAAGCCATCCCTCCCATACTGCCTTGGCTATGTGGACCCTGTAGAAACTAGACATTTGAGAAACCAGGGCACAGAGCCAGCAGCCTTCTCCATCAGTCCCCACCACTGTCATGGTCTCCCTACTTCTCTCACCATCATCACCACTATATTTTCCTTTTCCTTGCTGTCCAGGTGGCCTCTACCAGCATGGGTATGTTGCTGTTGGAGCCACTAGGGTCGCCATCTCTGGTTGTGCTTGGGAAATGCTGGTAGGTAGAGACGTGTGCTCTGATGCCACTGAAATAGGCCAAGAAGTCAGAGGATAGTTCAGCATTATCCCTCCGAGGCCCCTTTTGCCTATCTTTTTGACTTTCCCCCTTTCTCTTCCCCAGTGGACAACAATTCAAGCCAAATGCCCCAAGCACAGAGGAGAAGACCAGCAGCCGGCAGGAGACCTTGACCTTCCTGTTGTAGGTAACAAATTGGATGGCATGTAAGCTCCAGGCATCCAAGGAAGGAGGAAGAGTGGAGGCAGGGGATGGGGAATTGAGTGGGGTTAGAGTTACAAGCCACCATCTGTTACTTAGGGGATCAGCCACACAGGTCTTGCCATCCCCCTGCAGGAAATCAGCCTGCGTCAGGGGCAGACATAGGCCAAGGGCTCCAGGTCAAAAGAGGACATCGCACTAGGGGCCTGCATCAGGTTGGATGTGAGACAAGGGGCCAACGTAATGAATAGATGCAAATGCTGGAGAGGAGACGGCACAGGGTAATGGTTTATTTTCACATTTGAACAGACTCCCACACTACTAGCATCTGATTTGAATTTTGCTGTAATTTAGCCATAACCTGCCAGAGCAAGCTGGAAGGGAATCGGGCAAATAACATTTGTCAACTTTCCAGTTTTAGAGAAGCTACAAACAAAGGACAAACAACCACGAGTTGTTATCTCTCTTGCAAACTGTCACTCTCTGGCCATCGGCTAACCCGCTCTGATATTATGAAACGTTCAGAGGGGACAAGGATGTGAACGCTGAAGAGGAAAGGTCAGTCCCAGGATGGTAATGATCAGAGATGCTACTGTGAAGACAGTGGATGTTCAGTTCAATGAAGTAAAAACATCACACAAAGTTTCATACCAAGAAGGGGTGAGAGGCAAGGGAAACCAGGGGATTGGGAAATGGCTAGAGAGAAGCCATGGAGGTATGGGAAAGGTAGGCACAGAGAAAGAGACAGGCAAGATCTGCACTGGAAATGATTGTGGATATTTGCAGTCATGCCCTGTATTATATTTTGAGTAACATTTGCATAAGGAATTCCAGGATCTTGGTTCATTGTAGAATGTAGGATTGGAGTTTGCAGTAAATCTCAATCCAGTGGAATATTAGCACCATCTTCATATTGAACTTTGACAGCAAATGGTCTAAACCTAAAGCTCAGATCCTGTTGGTGGAGCACACAGGTGTAACTCTCAATGATGCCTGCATATGCAGTTAGAATGATGTTACACAAGGAAGTATCCTGTACTCCACTGTGTAGCATTGTCAGCCCCAGTGTGCATCTGTATCAGAGGTGGGATTTGTGTGGCTCTCTGAGTGTTGTTGGACTACAACTCCCAGGATCCTCGCCATTGGCTATGGTGGCTAGTGCTGTTGAGAAATTCAGTCCATCAATATCTGGAGGGCTGCATGGCTGTATATGATGTATTCTATAACCACGTTTCAAAAGTATAAAAGATTTACTCCCAAAGCTGAGAACCAAACTGAAGGCTAGGGACTAGCTCTTAAGTTCACAACGTTGATTGTCAACTGCTGCACTTCTAGCCCTTCAAATTTAACACCTGCCTGCCAGATCTCATCTGCTTCAGCTTCCCAAGAGGATCAAGCAGGTAGAAAGTAAAGAAAACAAATGACCAAGATGGAGCAAATGAAGGTACTTCCCTTGATTGCATGGCTCAAATGTCAGGTCTTTGGAGACCTAATCAGGTTCTCTGGGCAGACTGGGATCTTCTCGTTCCAGTGCGTTTGTTGTTTGTTGAGGTGCAAACTGCTGGAGAAAGGGAAAAGCAACATTCAAAGCATATGTCAAGATGTAAGATTTATACATAACGGTCCTTAATGTTCTGTGTGGAGTGAGCAACTGATGATAGCAATCATAGTGTTTTAATGGATTGGGGGGAGAGGTTGGACGAGCAACAGAGAGACTTAATGATAGGTGCGATTTAATGCTAATCATATTTCTAAAGCACTTACAAAACAAAGTGCTATAGAATAATTACAATTAAAGACAGCTGCTGCCCACAAGGTTTGCTGTCTACTAGAGAAAAAGGAGGGGAAATTGGAGTGATACAAGATGAATATATGGCGGGGGGGGGGGGGGAAGCCAGATGAATACTGTGGAATGGCCTGCCGGACGAGATCCGTCTTATTACTACGCTTATTGCCTTCAAAAAGGCATTAAAGACGGATCTCTTTCGGCAGGCTTTCCAGCAATAGCATCTGCTTAGGGCGATGTGACTTCAGTCATTATCATTGTAATGTTCCCACTGTGGTGTGTTTTTATGTTATTGTTTTTAATGGATAATGTGTATTTTAATCTTTTCTAGTTTAATTCTGTTTTAAGGGGTTTGGGAGGGCAGGGTTAGGCGATGTGGGAATGTTTTAACTTGTTGTTTATTTTAATGCTGTAACCTGCCTCGATTGTTGAGCAGAGGGG